TTCTCTGTGAAAGATTTTATTTTTACCATGCCTGAGAAAAATGCTATCAGGAGACTAGGTCAGGAAAATATTATTACATTAAAACCAATGCTGAATGAGTATTAGTTATTGAGTTGCTATTATGAGAACATTTATTATTCAACAAAGAGTTTGTATGTGTATATGTGTATGTGTATGTATATGTAAAAACCGTGCTCTGGCACAAAGAACCATGCTAGATGCTATAAGGAATCACAGGTGGACCTCAGATCTTGCTGCCCTCCGGTATCTAGTACACCAGATTCAACAAGTACACAAATAATTGTAAGAACTGTGTACGGACAATGTCAAATGTGTCATATCCTGCTCTATCGCTGACTTCCTGGGAGACCTTGCACCACATACTGACTTTTTATATAATAATAGAGAGTTAGTATTGAATCTGCCTGTGGGCTTAGTTATGCTGCAGATTACAACAGACGTGTGGTTCTTTGAGTGCACTGCCTTTATTCTAAGGCTCAAGGTGATGGAGCAGCCACCATCTGAAATCTTGAGGTCAGACAGAAAGAAAAAGTGGCAAATTGTGACTGGCTCTTAAAACGTGCCTGGAAGCAGCACATGACTTCACATTTCACCAACCAGAGAAGGTCACTTGACCATGCCTAACTTACAAATGGATGAAGAAATGCAGTCTTCACATAGTGAAAGTAGTGGAAGGAAAGTTTTTGCCAGAAAAGAAAGTTTGCCAAGTTCCAGTGTACTCATTCGAACGTACTCAAATACCATCAATATCTAACAAACGTAACAGGATATGCCACTGAAACAGCTTGGCTTTTTACCAAGCTAATTGCATTATCTCCTCCTTTGTCTTGTGAAAACCATTTTGGGTATCTTGTGCTTTCATGTGCCCTGTGTGCATAGAATGTCTCAAAGACAAGGTTGGTTTAGACAGTCAAATGGGGAAATTCATATTTTAACATGACCCAATTCAGCTTCACCTCTAAAAGTAAATAAACTGTTTACCATTCAGGAGGAGTCCCGTGTGGCGCTATGGGTTAATGCACTGGACTGCAAAGCCAGTTTTATCCGCAAGATGGGCAGTTCAAGTTCAACAGCCACTCGCCCCTTGGAAACAGGGTCACTATGGATCGGAACTGACTTGACAGCACTTAACAACAACGCTATTAAGGAATTAGCATTTTCTCAAAGTTTATTTTTCCTTTTCACACATCAGGAATTGATAGTAGTTGGAGGAGTCTGATACTACAACTGCACTGAAAACATTTGGACTGTACTGAAAACAAATACCTTTTTTATGCTTTGGCCTAATACCCCTGCAGAGATCCTGCACAGAATACTGATAATGTTCTGAATGAGCCTGGCCCAAAGTGTTTTCCCAGTGGAATCTGGAGAGTTCTCAGCCACATTCTCCTCCTCCCTCACCTCCTGCTCCTACACAGTGGTACCAATCGCAGCCACTGCAAGCGCAGTTAGGAGATTAGGAACAGATATGGAGTCACACAGATATGATTTCACATCGTGGTGGCATTTGCCACCATAAACATGATTTCAACTTTTGCTGTAAATTGATCTGTAAATTTGACAAAATATGCAAAAACTGACATTTCAAGAGCTGAGATCATTTTGACTTATTAAAAAGTAGAGACCCTTGAGAGTCAGCAAAAGGAAATACGTTTCTGTATTTAGCTTTCAGTTGCATGGGGCATATTTTATGTTTGTTTGTGTTCAGCTCCTTGCTTTTAATTCATAGGTTAAAACTGGGCACATCTGGACTTTGATCACTTAATCCCGCTTTGCCCATAGATTTCTCCTGTGTCTCAGGCAATAGATGTAACTTCTCTGAATCCCAGATTTTTTCTTATCAGAGCATGCAGTAACCATGGTCTGACTCAAAAAGTTGACAGAAAAGTATTTTGCGCCTAGAAAACACTGTGAAATCATTCTTTGACATCAGCGACTTCACTGACTATACTTTTTTCACTACTGTTATCCTCTACACACACACACACACACACACACACACACACACCATGCCCCTTCTCTGCACTGTCCCAATTATGATGCCTTGGCTCTTCCCCCACTGGAATCTTTATCAGAATTGTGCTTCTTACCTGAGACAGTTGGGAAGCCTGTTTGGTAAAACTGCTCTCTCAACTGCCAAATTCAGAAAATACGTCTGTGTACATGAAAGTTACCATTGTCAGAGTTGGGACAAATGGAGTGCATGTGCTAGCTCTTGAGGAAGCATGGCCATGGTGTGTGCACTCTGGAGTCTGTGATATATCCCTCTGGAAGGACAGTGTAACTGCTGCTGCTTCTGCCCCTGTCCTCAAAACTAGGAAGTCACCCAGAATTAAAGCAAAACTCATCATCAGAAATCAAGCTCTTACCTAGCTCAACCCCCTTCTCCGCCTCTTTCCACCTCCTTTGCCCCCCTGCTTTTGAAATGAAGCTTGAGGACCATTTTAGGCCTTAAATCTCAGCTTCAATTGGGCAAAGCCCAGCCTTAGGGTTGCTCTCACACCAGTTGTCCTGGGTTTAATTAGCGCTGCCCCTGTATGTTTAGGCAATTACTGCTGTAACACATGGGGCGGTGTGCTTCTCATTGCCTAAGTCAGGACGGATGCACTGCTCAGCCTCCACAACTCATGCAAAGCTTGTGCCTTTCCTTTCCTCACCCAGCAGGAAGCCCCCATGCTGTGGTCTCTAATGTGCACTGTAAGTGTTTCACTATACAGTCCCACATACTAAAACCAATCATTTCTAAAGATGCCTGAATTACCCACACTTCCACAGTCTAGGTAGTTCCTTCATTACTGGGTCAGGGTATCCAGGACCCCAGCTCTAAAACATATTTTACTTTCCCATGAAGTTTCATTTCTCCTCAGCTACTGCACACACAATCTTGCTGAACAGAGCTGAATTTTGAAGGCTGAGTTTGTGGTGTGGATTCTGATGGTTTCACGTTAGTTCAAGTCTCTGAGGACCAGTGCCAATAAATGTGAAAGGGACAACCGTAGATTGGCATACTTTTCCATTTCCACGAGGATGAAAAAACTGCTATAAATTAAGTCTAACCTTAAATGTATAATCTGTCCTTGGGAGAGAGAACAAAAAAAAAAGAAGAAGGATATAGCATCTTCAAGCTTTCGGCATCCCTTACGAGAAAAAATTGGTTCTAAGGGTCTCTGATCTTGTGTTTTAGTAAAATAGAACTGCATGGCTGACTGACAGTTCTGATCTAAAGCATTTACGTTTAAGTTTTGATCTCTCTGCTTTTGATTAAAACTAATGAGCTCATTTAATTCAAAATGGGAATCTCTGATAAGAGAAATAAGGTTGATGTGATTGGATTAGAGGGGCAAATTAAACTCTTAGAGCAGAAGTTTGTGCTTATATAGTGTATTAAAAAGCTGTTGGCGTATTATGGCGTGTTAGATGATGAGAAAAATTTCATAGTAATTCATATTTAATCAGAAGAAATGAAAGTACTAAATATAACATGGCTCTGCTTTTCCCTCGAGTGATAAAAAGCTGTACATTTAAAATGACATCAGATCCAGGCTCTCTAAAAGAAAAGAAAGAAAGAAAAGAAATCCATAAGAGAGATACATAAAAAAGGGACATTTGTCAGTAGTTATATCACTTCAGAATAGAAATACCACAAATGTAGGAAAATATACTCCTATTAAGAAAGAATGATACAAGAAAAGTCCTGGACCACAATAGTGAGCTTTTTTATATTATAGTAGCTCTCACAATTTTCCTTCTGCACTTCGTTTGATGTGAAAAACAGATTTCCTTCTCTTAGAAATATATGGACCATGCATGCTTCATATAACTTAAATTTGTAGAATTTCTTTTGTCTCTTTTCCAACTATTCTCACATGTATGTAATTCTTCAAATCACTTTATTACATGTATTTCTGTACGCCTGCCAGAGAAAATTAATGTAGGGCTATCAGACAGAACTGATTTGACAGGACTTAAAAACCAACAACACTTAAAAGAAAACTTGTTTGTTCTTGGACTTTTCCTTTAAAATAAGTAAGGCTTTTTTTTCTAAAGTATAACTTTAGAAAAATAAAGTCAGAGGAATTATTAGGCTTAAATATCCCCAAATCAATTTCTTTGCAGGAAAAGACCTAAAATTATAAAGTACATTAAAAGCTTGTCTTTAAAGAAAATAGATTTACATTGCAACTTGACTGTTTATATAATGGTGTTTTTAGGTCAGAAAGACTGTCATTTTGAATTTCATAGATAAAAATATGTTCTACTTAGTTTAAAAACATATAAAATGAAAGAATACCTTACTTAAAAGAGGAAACAGTATTATTTCCTCAGGTCAAATGCAGACAAGTCAGAGAGAGGAACCGTTTCCTATCTGGGCAGAGGGAAGGGAGAACGCTGCTCCTATTAGCAGGAATGGAAACGTGGTGCTGTGAGGAATAAATTTTATCTGTGCATCCCATTTCCATTCCTCCATCTTGAGTCAGCTGAACAGACTTCCCATGCTTCTTATTCCCTACAAGGAATGAAACCAACTCGGAAGGACAAAAAAAGACAGTGTGTTTCTTGGAACTCATGGTAGCAAGTGGTGTAAGAAGGGATTCTCGGGAAGAACAAAGAGCAGGTCTTCCTCACCCTACACCTTGGTCAGTCCTATAAATCTGCAGGTCCACCATTTCATGACAGATCTTACCATGCGCGTGGGCCGAGACTCAAGTTGTGCTGCAGTGACTAACTTATTAAATCCCACTTAGGGAGCTGCTGGAAGTTACAAAAAAAAAGGTCTGAAACTGAGTTACTTGGGACACATTAATCTCTCTTTTTATTTTCTGCAAGATAAACATTTTCTAAATGAGGTAAATTGATTACTACGCTCTTAGCACCCATCAGTCATTTATTTTTAGTTAACTCAAGGATTGCACCTGAACAGTGGCTGTGAGGGCAATGTAGAGATCTAACCACACTGTATGTATTTTTGTATTCCCCAGTGGAGTCAACAAGCCCCAGTCTGCTAACCACTGACAACACCCTTGAGCGTTCCTTTTTCATCCGAATGAAATCAACTCTGACCAAACGTGGCGTGCATATCAAATCATCAGGATATAAGGTAAGCGGTGCTCTGGGAAGAAACACATTTCTATCTTGGTTCAGTCCTGGGTAATTTGCCATTGAATTTTCCAGCTGCTTTGAGTCCAGATAATTAACACACATGATCCTGAACAGTCCAGAGGGTTCTTAATTATTTGTCTTCCTGCCTCAATGTAAGGACTTTATTATTACACCTCTCCATCTCATATCAGACAATGCAACTCACTAAATATTCAGTATAGTGGCTTTTCTTAAAATACTTCTTAATCCAAGTGCTTCAGTGTATGCTGGAAATCACTTTGATGAAGCAGGTGGGCCAAATTCATATCAATACCAAAGGTGGTTATTACTTATAAGAGTTCTACTTCTCCCTACTTTCACCTTCCCCCTGTCTCTTTAGGAAAAGACTGCCCACTTCAACATCTTCACCACTGAAATTCAAACACTGTGATAGTAATTATTAGGTTACATGTCAGAAACCTAAATTCTGAAAATATAACCAGTAATCATTCAGTTCTATCTTAGTATATATACACAATAGTCAACATACAGCTGAAAGATAAACAGCAAAGACTAAGTCTGAAGTCGTAATCTGCATTTTTATCATTTAAGGTTAAGGATATAAAGGCATTCTAATCTCAAGAAATTCCAACATTTCAGTTACTATAGCAACATAAATTAAGACCTATGAAATTTATGAACTGCCTTTGGCAACCTGAATCTTATCAATTTACAACACACATACCAATGGCTCAAACAATATTTATTACATGTGGGAGGGAGAACAGACTAGAATGTTCCATAGAAGTGGGAACAAGAGCTTCCCCAATTTTAGAGTTCAGAACTTCTGACAGTGTGGTTCTAGAGAGTGACCAGAGTGTTGTTAAGAACTGGACAATTATTATCACCTGGTCTCAGAAGCCTTATTAAAGTCATCAGAAGACTAGCGGCTGTAGAAAAGACAGAGTCAGGCACTTTCTTTGACATTAATTCTTCAGAAAAGGAAGAAAGGAGGTGGGAAGCAGGCCCTTCCCTTCCTAGCACGACCTTTACTGAGCTGTCCTGCAGTCTGAAACGCACACGTGGAGCATCCTTAACCTTTAACAGGAACATCAACAGAAGAGGCAATGGGGCAGCTGCCCCTGCAGTAGCTTTCCCCTATTGAGTCTTGTTACAAAGGAGTGTGTGTGAGGAAACAAAACAGGTTCTGTCCCTAGGACCATTTTGTATTTCCTGCCCCCGCTGAACACTGTATTATATGTTTAACGGTGTACAGTTGTGTACAATGGTTATCAATTGTGTTACCAGTTTGTACAAATGGATAAGTTTGGAATGTCTCTCAGCATTTGTTCTTCACCTTCCTGATTTTCACTGTTTATTAAGAGGCATGTTTCAGGAGGAAAGGAGAGTGGAAAAGGTAAGCTGTAATTCAAAAAGCAGTATTTTATGTAATTCAGTATCATTAGATAATTTAAAACTTTTAAAAACAAAACATTTGGTATCTTACTGCAAACCACAGATAGCAAAACTCCATAACATTTTGGAATGGGGGATGTAAAGGTAGAAAAAATTATGGAGGAAGAGTTCGTAACTTCAACCTAGGCAAGAGTCAACTTGACTTGGGTTGGCTCGTTTGCTCGCTTGCTTTTGTCATATGGGCATCTCAGTGCAGCTCCTATCCCTATATGACCTAAACTTAGACAAGCTAATAGCGTAGTGGTTACAAGTTGGTCTGCTAACCTCATGGTCAGCAGTTCAAAATTATCAGCTGTTCCATGGAAGAAAGATGAGGCTTTCTGCTCCAGTGAAGATCTACAGCCTCAGAAACCCTGTGCAGGAGCTTTATGAGTCAGAACCGATGCCACAGCACACTACTACCACCACCACCACCACCAATTTCCTTAATACTAATGGAACATTCTCCCTTGCATTCATCTGGCGAATATTTCTTGAGTACCCATGTGCCAAGGCCCTGTTCTAGCTTTTGGAAGCCCAATATTATACAATAAAAGTTCCTGTTTCCATGATGCTTATTCTACAATAGGGCAGACAAACAACAAATAAATAAGGAAGGTCATCTTAGTAATGGCAACTGCTAGCATTTCTGAGCATTGGCCTCTGTTGGACTTGATACAGTTTCTGTGATACAGTAATCTTTACAACAATGCCAAGAAAACATATTGTTACTTCCATCTCACAGATGAAAAAGCTAAGGCCTAGAGAGATTAATTAAGGAGCTCTGGTAGCATAGCGGTTATGAATTGGGTTGCTAACCTCAAGCTCAGCAGTTTGAAACTACCAGCTGTTCCACGGGAGAAAGATGAGACTTTATGCTCCCATAAACAGCCTCGGAAACCCTGTACAGGGTCGCTATGAGTCGGAACCGACTCCATGGCACATAATCACCACCACCATCATCATGTATTAAGGGACAAAGCTGGAGTTTGAACTCATGGAGTCTGGCTCTACGGTGCCTGTGCTTAACTACCAGGCTGCACTGCTCTGCAGACAGTGAGACAGAGTAACGTGAAAGAGTGTGGCTGATGGGGCAGGAAGACTTCCCTAGAAAGGTGACATGTCACCTCTGACAGGTGTATGAGAGGGACCACCATGCAAATATCTACAAGAATCTTTCTAACACACCTAGGATTTAGGATCAATGATACCTTGATATATTAGAAGCCATCCTGGTGAAAGAAAAGAAGAAAAACAACCTAGAATATCTAGGATGGGAAGAGATTTAGAACCTATTCCACATTCTATCAAATCCTGTTGTTGCTGTTAAGTACCATTGAGTCAGTTCCAACTCATAATAATCCTCTGTATAAGGTTTCCAAGGAGTGACTGCTGAGTTTGTACCACTGACCTTGTGGTTAGCCGTGCAGTGCTCATCCTACAACACCATATTAAATCAAAAAAATTGCAATTGATCACACTCCTCTGTCCACTCCTCTCTCAGTTGTCTTTCTCTCAAGATATTGTGAAAGTTGCTACCTGAAGCTTTAGCCCTCTCTCCATCGCTTCAATAAGAGGAATCCTTCAACAAATCCCCTCCTCCTCCTCTCTGAACTTCCCTCAGTAATTAACCTTGTGTGAAAGTTAGTAGCGGAGCTGATGAGCATCCCATGACATGACACAGCTGAATAACATCCACATTTATCTGTTCATTCTCAGTAAGCCAATCTAGCAGCAGCTTAAAAACCGTTCAGACAAAACTGGCAATCACCTCACCACCACACAATACACACAAATAAAAAGAAGCAATGATGATAATTTCCCCCCTAATGTCTTACCATTGTATGCTTCTTTATTTTTCCTTAAGGATCCAAGATGTAAAGCCTTACTCAGGTCACTATATAGTCTCTCCATTTTTTCTATCACCTTGGCACATGTGCCTTTCTGACTTCTTCCGCCACTTTTTCTTTAGTAGTTTTGTTGTCACTGATGGTAATGATTGTAACAAAAGTACCTCCCACTGAACATGGACTCTGTGGCAGACTCTTAACATTGTATTATTATCAACCCATTTTGCAGGTGGTGAAACAAAGCAAGAAAATTCGTTAAGTGATTTGTCCATGGTCACATAGCTCTTTAGAGTCCTGGTGTGACACTGTAGGATAAGCACTGGACTGCTAAACACAAGGTCGGTGGCTCAAACCCACCCGCTGCTCCTCAGTAACCTTACGCAAGGCTGCTATGTGTCTGAACCAACTTGACGGCACTTTAACGACAACATCATGTAGCTCTCTAAAGTAGCTACTAAGGAACCAGGATTGAATCCAGGCATTGGGTTCTGGGCTCTACCCTCTTAACCACTTTGTTTTTTTGCTAAATGATCAAGTCTAAATAAGGGTTCCGTGTGATCTGGACCTCAACATATGGAAGTATAAAAACCTGATTAAACCGTTCCCTGTGGTGGTCTAGTCACCAGTGGTCCACAGGCACCAGTGTATCCCAGTGCCCCAAGGAGTTCACAGAGATTTGCCCTTCCTTTCCAGGGATTAATATACCTTCTCAGGAACCCCATAACCAAGAATTCTAGCAAAAGAAGTGCCAGTCTGAGTCTGCTAATTGAGGTATAGAATGAACCTAATTTGCTGTTGCTTGGTTTGTGCTGCCCAGTCCTCAGGCAGATTGCCCTCTCCCCAATGAAGCTTCCCAACTGTTTGCTGTCATTTGGTTGTTGCTGTCCTCATTTGCTTGAGAATCCATGGCAGTATGCTACCAGGACCAGGCACTTTGTATGCCTCAGGGATTACCCTGTTGTTTAGGGTTTATTGTTAACCACATATCTTAGCATAGCACAGTTTTCATTTAAATTACATTGCATCAATATTCTGTCTTCTTGATTAGGTCGAGGTTGGGGGAACTTGCTAGGTATAGCACATGGGGTAACAGGAGATATGTAATCAGGAAAATTAGAGAAGTAAAGACTAATTGGGTCGCCTCCTTAGCGCCCTGCCTTTGGAGGAGAGTTTCCTTTGGTCTGGGACTTCCGTTTCCTAATCTACTCTTACATGCCCACTAGCACCTCTGTCATATCTCTACACACACACTGATGTCCTTGCTCTAATGGTTTCATGGAGCAGCCTTAGCTGGAAACACAGACAAAAAGAGAAAATCCTTGTATATAATGCTAAGACTATCTCCAAACTCTTCACAGAGGTAAAAATCTTCCAATGTGGGCGTTCCTGCTATGTTGCACACCAACAGGTCACTCAGGGAGGGTGTGGGAACTCTTGAAAATAAACAGTCCTCCATCTGGGATGATTTGAGTATGGATTTGCCTGTAGCTAAGTGTTGAACTAAATGACTTCTGAAATCCTATACAGCCTTCTTATTATATAAAGATACAAAGAATAAATAAATACTTAGAGAACATAATAAGTAGATTCACTGGTGATTAAGATTGCTGATAGACCCCAGCTATAAGAATATTCATATCTAAGCATGAAGTACTAACAAAAGCGTTAAATTAGAGGTTTCTAATTGGCTGAAGAAAATTCTTTGGTCTTTTCC